TTGGATTTGATTCCTCTCATTACAACATCTAGTTTTTCATTAAACACTAGACATTCAGATCTTGAGAAGTTGACCATGAATCCTAGATCACATAATTGACTGATGCTGATGAGATTAGTAGTCAACCCTTTTACCAGCAGTACCTTATTCAGACTTGGAACTCCAGGGTAGTCCAAATTACCAACTCCTTTGATTTCTCCTTTAGCACCATCTCCAAAGGTCACAAAACTGGTGGTGTGAGGCATAACATTATTGAGGAGATTTTTGAATCCAGTCATGTGTCTGGAACATCCACTGTCAAAGTACCAATCTTCCTTTGCAGAGATCTTCAGGGAAGTGTGTGCTATCAGTGCAGTAGCCTTTTTCTTCCATTGAGGAGCGTGTGGTACCTTTTTAGACTTAGGTTTGACATCTGAGTTCTGATTAGGATATCCATGTAGTCTGAAGCAGAAGGGCTTTATGTGACCATATTTCCCACAATGATGACATCTCCATCTTTGGTACCTTTTCTTCATATGTCTCTGTCCCTGATGTTGAGAGTAATGTGGAGACATCCATTTTGACATTTGCTTCCCGGTACCAAATTTCTTTGTTTCCACAAATCCTAGGCCAGATTTATTTCCCATATTTTGACCAGCCTGAAGGATCTCTTCCAATTTGTCTGTTCCATTGGTCAACATCTTGACAGATTTGGTCATTTGATTCAGTTGTGAGTTCAGCAGTTGAACTTTTCCTTCTAAAAGACTTATAGTTTCAAGATTTGCCCTCTTTTCAGCCTCCAGCTTTACAATGAGTTTTGATTGTTTCTCATTTTGCACACAGACTTCACCACTTCTGATACACAATTTCTTGTAGGTATCAGCCAGTTCTTCAAATGTTACTTCTTCATCACTGGTGTCACTTTCAGAAGTACAAACACTAGTTAGGGCAGTAACTAGTTTGGCAGATTCTTCTTCAGAATTGCTTTCTGAATCATAGTCAGACCAAGTAACAGTCATTCCTTTCTTTTGCTTCTTAAGAAAGGTAGGACATTCAGCTCGAATATGTCCATATCCTTCACATCCATGGCATTGAATACCTCTGCCTTGGTTTTCCTTATCTTCTGACCTTGGTCTTCTGCTGGAACTGTCAATGTCAGAAGGAATGTTATGAACATTAGACCTTGACTTTGGGTCCATTCTTTTGATGAGCCTGTTGAACTGTCTTCCAAGCATGGCAATGGCTTCTGATATGTTTTCTTCTTCATCCTCCTTGTATTCAACATCAGTGTTGGTTACAAGTGCTATGCTTTTGTTCTTCTTGTCACCATTATCAGTGATCCCCATCTCAAAAGTCTGAAGAGACCCAATAAGTTCATCCACTTTTAACTTGCTAATGTCCTGGGCTTCCTCTATGGCAGTTACCTTCATTGCAAATCTTTTAGGCAAGGATCTGAGAATCTTCCTCACCAGTTTTTCTTCTGACATTTTTTCTCCCAGTGCTCCTGAGGTGTTGGCAATCTCCAAGATGTTCATGTGAAACTCATGAATGGTTTCATCTTCCATCATTTTTAGATTCTTAAACTTAGTGGTCAACATCTGAAGCCTTGACATCTTTACTTTGGAAGTGCCCTCATGAGTAGTTTTGAGGGTGTCCCAAACTTCCTTGGCCAGTTCATATTGATGTACTAGTCTGAAGATGTTTCTATCAATTCCATTGAACAAGGCATTTAAGGCTTTTGAATTTCCCAGAGCTAACTCATCTTCTTCTTTACTCCAATCTTCCTCAGGCTTCAGACTGATTGTCCCATCTCTTTCAGTTATGGTGGGATGAATCCATCCTTTGTCAGCAGCTCTCCAAGCCTTTTTGTCCAGAGATTTTAGGAAGGCAATCATACGAGGTTTCCAGTAGTCATAATTAGTTCCATCCAGAATGGGTGGTCTATTTCCAAAAACTCCTTCTTTGTCCATAGTGCCAGAAGTGATATCCCTAGATCTCACCCAGTAATACAGGCAGGGTGCCTGCTCTGATGCCAATTGAAATTCTGGCTACAGATACTCAATGTCACGTCCAATGTTATGACACCGTATCTGACTTACTATATGACAGTAAATACAAAAGCAGTAAATAACACAGTCAATTGTTTACCCAGTTCAGTGCAACAACACCTACTCTGGGGGCTACCAAGCCAGGGAGAGAATCCACTATAAGAGATGTTAATTCAGGAATAAACCAACCAGTTTATCTCCTTCACTTAAGACCTACCCAATGCAATTCTAATCTAAGTACAACTTAAACCTGAGTTCCTACTCACTCCCCCTCAATCACAGCAGTGATACATAAACCAATTTGACTTAAGAATTGATGAAGACACTCTTCCAAAAAACACACACTTGATTAAGCTTCACAGCTTTTTAATCAAGTAACACAATCACTCGTGCTTCACAGCTTTGAGTGATGTATACAACTAACTTGACTCTGCTTCATAGCTTTAGTCAAGTGACATTCAAACACTCTTGCTTCAAAGCTTTGAGTGCTACACAACCCTTACAATTGAAACCTATTCCAAGGCACTTATCACAATGATAATTGCTTGGAGTACAATAAACAAATCTATACAGATTACAAAATTGATCTTCTAATCAATCAGCAGGGATGACTTGAAAAACCGCAGCTCTGTTGAATATATAGCAGCTGCAACTTCAGTTAGGGTTTCCAAAAACCTAGGGTTGATTCCGTTTGACCTAAAGACCAGGTCCCAGTACTTTATTGATCAGGTTAGGATTTGAGCTAGGTTACTCCTCAGAAAACGCAGAATTCTGTTTAGGAAGGACTGAGTTATTTCCTGAAAAAACTCAGACTTATCCAATCCTGTAATCCTGCTAGTTCAGAACAGGATGTCATAACATCTGTTATGACATATGAGAAAACCTGTCTACTGATTTAGCAAAATGTGATCATTTTGCAAACATGCTCAGATACACACTTATAAACATCAGTATTTGATTTACAATATTTTTCTGCACATGTACCTAATGAGTTAGTACAACCTGAACTAGAATGTTATGACATCAGTCATGACATTCACACATACACTTGGGATTTACCAAAAATGCAAGCCAATACCTAAACACCTACATATTCTATGAGCTGTTTTGGATAGTTGGATAGCATCGAAAATGCCGACTTTCTTCCATTGTGTTTCCTTTTTCACTTGCACTTTGTTGAACCATGCAAGCCAAGCCTTGTTACCAGGAGTAGGCATAGATCGAAAGATCCTAGTGGGTTTCATAAATTTTAAGTCGAGAGGAACTTTTTCGTAAACGAATGTGGAAGCGGGAGAAAAATAAGGGAAGTATTGTTATACCTAGTGAGGATGAGACCTTGCATCTGGATACAGTCCATGAAATGCGACGAGCTTCTCGGCTACTATGAAAGTTATAAGCATATGTTTTTGACATTTTTCTACCTTAAATGCATCAGTAGAAGTTGGTTGAGGAATGTCTTGTAAACCTTCTTCTTTTGAGAGCAAAAGTTGGGGTTATTGTCTATGTTCAGTTGGTTTTGGGTAGAAGAAGCCATGGCAGTATATGCGTGTAAGAGAAAGAAAACAAGCGAAGAATTTTCTGTGTAGAAAGTTGCAGGAAAAGGTTCACAAAGGAAGAAGAAGAGGAGACAAGCGTGATATATTATTTATAGACCCATTGAGGTCGTCGATGGTGGACAGGTTGCGCTACTTGTAAAGTGAGGATTATCGTGAAATTTGGAAGTGGAAGAGTTAGTAAGGTTTGTTAGAATACCACACCCTAGAAACTAGGAGCCATCATGAGATGTGATGGAATGACGTTAGGAATGATGGTGCAAAAAGTGGTTATCATGAAGCATGACGTCAACTAAGTAGACAATTGGTCAAAAATTCAAAAAGAAGGAAAATGTTAAAATTCTCCGTCGACAGAGTTCCCGTCGAAATTGGCATTTGGGGGGGGGGGGGGAAACAAATTTCGACCTAGCGAAGTAATTATAAGCTAAGGGTCATCACCAAGAGGAAAGTATTTTCGACATAACCCAAGGAAAGTATTGGGGACACAACCCATCAAACAAATAGTCCCTATGAGACTTGACAAAATTTAGAATTGTGAAGTTGGGTCGACGTAAGGGTTTGAAGTCAGTCGATTAGGAAGAGCATTCAACATAGAAGCAGTTTTCATTAACGTTTGCCAACAGGACGTGGGGAGGTTCAAAAAGGCAGTTTCATCATGAACTCCAAATGTGGTTATTGTTGCACCCCAAAAATTTCCCTCCTGATTTTGATTTCATCTTACTTAGGCTTTTACATTCATCTTCATACATTCCATTAAGACATTTGCATATCATGCATACATTCAATAAAGTACCATGGATTCAAAGGATCTGAGATCAATCAAGCTATCATCATTATAAGCTCATGTGTGCTTCAACATCCCTTGGATTGCAGGAAAAGATCAAGCTATACAGTTGATTCAAAGCAGTTTGACCAAAAAGTCAATATTTCACAATTAAAGCTCAAAGATGTCATTCATCCTTTCAAAAGTCAAAGATTCAGGTTTTATAGTCATTGGTTTTTATTTCTTTTTTATTCAAAAATCTCAAAAAATATAGTTCATTTGCATTATATTTTTCATGTGTATTTTTTAAAAATAATCTTGATTTGATTTTTTAATTTTAATTCAATTTAGAATGAATATTTTAAGTAGAATTATTATTAAGAATAAAATCAATTTTAAAATTTTATTTTATTTATTTTAAATCTTTTCTATTTTTAGTCATTTATTTTATTATTATTCATTGTTTTTACCGACCATTTACTTTTTGTCTATTATTATTAGTATCATTATTAGTATCATTAATAGTATTAGTATTATTATATCTTTTTTGTCCTTATGTTCAAGAAAATAGGAAATAGAAAATAGAAGGAGAAATTGCAAGAAGTGAGTGGGACCATACACCAAAATGAATTCACGATAGCTACAGCAAGAAAAGTCACGATTTCTATACACGGTATCCCATGCAGTGCACAAAAAATATTTCACCAAATTTTAACTTTCAAATTTCAAAACCATTTCACTGTTACATTTCAAAAGAATCACACTTTTCTTGCTCTTTCTCACTACAAAATCAGAATTACAAGATCAATCTCATCCATCAATTTCCAAGCTTATCAATGGTCAAGAATTCCTGTAAGGAAATTACACGAACTCCTCCTCAAAATGGCTCCAATTTTGCCTCAAAAATTTCATCAAGGCACACTATATAAAGAGTACTTCAGAACCAAAGAGAGGGGGGAAAAAATTAGTAGAAGGAAAGGAGAAGTCATGCTATCAAAGTGAAGAAACTTCCCCCAAGCAATTGATTCATCCTTCAACACACGTACTTCACTCAACCTGCAAATTGGAAAACCAACTCAACAACTTGCAACAAATTCCAAACACAGCAGAACCAAATCGCAAAGCAACAATGCACACAGTAGAAGAAAAGAGAGAAGAGGATAAAAGAAGAATAGTGAAAACTGTACCTGAGATAAGAAGACCCGTCGGAGGAACTCCGATTCGGTTACTCTTTTTTTTTCTTCTTCTTATTTTATACTCTATCGATTGTTGTTGTTTGATGTTCTGAACTAAGAGTCTAAACTGAGCTTTTGCTATTGTTCGAAATTCGAGAGTTGAGTTTGTTTTCTTGATCGTGATCGAAATTTGAACTGGGTTTGCTATTGTTTTTAAGAAATAAAAGTGAATAATTTTGTTGTTGTTGTTGTTGTTCGTTCGTACTAAGAGCGGCTTCAGAGGGAGATTTTGTTGTTGTTTTCGATATTGTGAGAACCAGAACCGATGATTGTTGTTGTTGACTAACTCAGACAGAGAGAGAGACTGTTTGGCTTATCTATTCTTTTTTATTTTGGTTATAATCTGTTTGATACTTGGGCCTGGCTATTTCTTTTAATCACTAAGCCCAATCCGTTCCGATTTCTAGCCTATACCCCTGACTCTACTTGTGTTCTTTTTTTTTTTTAACTTAGTCTTTTAGTTTAATTTTCTTTTCTTAATTTTTTTAGATAATAAATTTTTTTAGAAATAGTAGAAATCTTCTAGGTTTATAAGAGATTTATTAGGATTTTTTTTTTTATATTCTTTAACCATTTGTAGTTAATTTTACATACTTTTTGGCTATTATTTTGGCTTGCAATTTATGATGAAAATAATGATTGATAGTGATACTTGGTGTTCACTTGATTTTTTGACCTTTAATTTTGTGTTGAAATGCCATGATACCTTAGGAAACTCCGTGAGACGATTAATTTATTTTTGGTCGTTTTATGTCGAGTTAGGCATTAGGTTTAAATTCAAGCATGATAACAATTAAACATAATTATCCTAACTCTAGGACTATTGTACATAACAAAATTAGGACTTGAGTTTTTCTTAGATTTTGTTTTCCCTTTTACATTGCATTTAAAACTAAAACCTTTTCTTTATCAAATCTCAAAAACACATAACAATAAAGAGGCGAACCATGTGTCATGAGCCTTAAGTGTTGGGAGGAGTATGGGGTGGTGCATTCTTAACCTTGTGCTTCCTCTCAATCATAGTCTTTAATGTGAATTCAAATTGCCAATTCCTTTTTCAAGGTAACAAAAAGACTTCACCAATCAAATCTCTTTGGCCTTCGAGCTTTTCTTTTGACAATCTTTTCATAAAAGGATGTGTTATTTCCATTTGTGCAATACGACACGTGAGTCCCAAAGGCTGAGAACCAATATGTCAACTACTAGAATATGAATGTAAAATTATCCGCCTATAAAATAAACAAAATAATTCTTTTTTAGAAGAACTACAGTGCTCTGATTCCTTCGCGAGATACATAGGCACGAGGTTGTAAAACCGAGGCGAGCGCAATAATAATAAAACTTTATTTTTGTTCATTAAAAATTCATTCATGAAATCCCTTAGCTTGTAAGCTTTAGATAAACACACCCTCTAAATAGAACAACATGAATGGATCTTGTTAAGTACAACAAACGTGAGGGGCGATAATATTATCTCCATGCATAATTGACTCCCTTACCCTTCTCTTGGTCGTGAGACCTTGATCTCTGTCTTCTTAGGTTTTCTTTGATGTTTTCCTTTCCCTTCTTTAGGATGAATAAATATTTAATGGTTACTTCATTGTTTATTATTTTCCTAGTTGCTTCAGCTAGAGACTTCACTGGGGTCTATTTCCTAAGTGGGTTACTTCTAGCTCTTGTTTGTTGTGTCTTTGGGTGTTTATTTCTTTTTAGCTTTATGGCTTGTTCATTTGTCTATATGATCATATGTTTATATGTTTGCATGCATTAAATATGGATATTGGTTGTATATATTGGATATATGTTGTGCTATTGTTTCTTTGGTGGGTGAGATGTTATCTGAGGTAAAAGGCCCAATACCCAAGCCAGATGGAAACAACTAAGAACACATAGGACTAGAGTGGATGTTCATGACGCCTATTGGGTGCAAGGCCCTATTAGTGTGATCATGAAGTACCACACGTATATGAGGTTTATTTGGGGACACTATCGTCATACATGGCTATGTTATGATTGTAAGTTCTCTAGTTTTACGATTGACATTAATTTTTGTAAAATAAATATAGCAGTAATATGTTAAATAGGATATGAAATCTTGCTAAGAACAAGTTGAGCAAGAAGTCTTATTTTATGTTGGGACATGTTGAGTTGAAGTTTTCAACATCTGAAATAATATGTCAGATAAGATGTCCTATGAAAGAGCGTACGACATCGCGCCTGAGCTGAGTTGGATTAGTGGAATCTGTTATGATTTAACAAATACAAAATAATATGGGAGTGTTATGAAATCCTATGTGGCGTTGGTTTAAAGGTAAAGAAGAATCAAGTCAGAATATTGAAGATTATGTAGTTTCTAAATATGGAGATATTTTAGGAAACTAATGATTGAAGACCTTATTTGTAACAAAAGTTACTGCTGATTTGTAATAGCTGATGAGCTGTGATCGAAGGCCCAAATCCAGTTGGGTATAGATTATAAATAGAAGTCTCTGTAACCTAGAAAAGGCATAAGTCCAAGTGAAACAACCGGCCGAACAATCATCAAAAGAAAATCAATGAAGTCACCATTGAATATTTTTTATCCCACATGAAAGGGAAATGTAAACATCGATTAAATCCGAGAAGGGTGAAATAAAGGTCTCGCGACCGAGAGATACAGGTAAGGGAGTCAATTATGCAAAGGGAAGGTATTAGCACCCCTCACGTTCGTGGTACTCCACGGGATCCACTCTTGTTATTCTAATCAAAGGGTGTGTTCAAATCTAAAGCTAAAGAGCGAAGGAGAAAAATGCAAAGAGGGAATGCATGAAAAAGAAAACACAGGAAAAAGAAAGAAATATTTACAAAGTTTCACTCGCCTGGGCCCCGCGACCAAATTCCTATGTATCTCTTTTAAGGAATCAGAGTGTCATAGTTCAGCTTAAAAGTTTGTGTGTTTTGTATTTTTTATGAACCATATTAATTTCTCTTTCTACCGCAGCTCGACCTTTGGAGACTCATGCGTCAGCACATGAAGAAATTAATAAGTTATACCTAAAAAGGTATTTTTAAAAGAAAAGTACTCGAAGGAGGATAATTCTACATTCGTGCTCTAGCAATTTAGACATAGTGCCACCTGACCTTTGGGGAATTACGCGTCATGTTGCATAGAGTAAAATTAACACATCCTTTTGAAAGTTTCAAAGAAAGGCTCGAAGGCAGAAAAGTTTGTATTGGTTGATGTATTTTACCTTGAAAAAGGCATTGAAAATATTAGAGTGTTTTATGCATTTGCCAAGAAAAAGGTTTTAGTCTTAAGGATGCAAAAGGAAAAGAAAACATCTAAGGGAAACTATCTAGCTCTATCCATAATGTTATCATACAATGATTGGTCCTATAGTTGAGTTTTGAAAGGGAAATCTCTACCTTTGTTAGGATGCATGGATTACGATCCTAATGTATAACTTGAATCAGAAATGAAACAAGCGAATCCAAAGGGAGCATACAAAGGTTACAACATAATGGAAATCATAAGCACACGTGCAATCAAAAAAAGTCGAGCCGAAGCCAAAAGAAATATCGGGTGTGGGCTAGCAACAAACAAATGAGTCCAATGGATCTCAAAGTGGGAGTAAGAAAATATTTCTACTTGATTTGCTCGAGCACCAACATCAAGTAATAACTCAGAGCATTAACTTCGAGCAACGCGAGCTAACATCTTCGAAACGAATGACAAAGCGTGAGGGTTAGTTATGGACCCCGATCTTCCACTTGACTGACTTGATAACAAGAGTAAGCATGGTTCAAAGCATCAACGTAGAACGTGAGCTAGTAATAACATAGACTAGAATGTGTGGGGGTCGATTGCGGACCCTTTGCTCCATTTATTAACTCGATAGCAAGGACAAAGTAAAAAAGGGAGGGGAAATGCCTTCTTTGAGGACTTTGGAAAAAATGCTTCATTTGAGGTCTTTACAGAAATAACATGAATTCGCCCCTTTTGGAGTCTTTTGCAAACAAAAACATTGCCTCATTTCGAGGACTTTAACAAAACAAACATCACCTCACTTGAGGAATTTAAACAGATTTCCCACCTAAAGTAGGGAATCTCAGTCATGCATCTCTATTTCTACTTCTCATAGCAAGGAAAACGGTAAATGATTCGGAAAAATAAACCAGAATCAGTGTAATACCAAACGAATAAGAGTTTGTAGCAAGCAAGCAAAAACAAAATAATTCTGGAAAACTTCGCGCAAACTAGCATCAACAACAAAATAGTAAGAATATGCGTCGAAGCATCAATAAAGCATAATGGGAATGCATGTCAGACATATCCGCACACAAAACACCTGCACAAAAACTCACATACAGACAAAAAAATAGGGAGAGTATATATCTCATGAAATGAGAATCAAAGTAAATCGCGTCAGAAGCAAACCCATAAATCCATAAAGAGTCGGAATACAAATGCTTTTCAATCAAATAATCAAAAGTTAAATGATCGAAAGCTCTCTTGAATTTCCTTGCACAAGTCAACAATCATGTTAGAAACAACAAGGAAACGAAATCGGAATTAAGTATCCGCATCATAATTCAAATTGGGATCAATTCATGAAGAAATAACATTAAAATGCGCATGAGAAACACAAAGGTGAACTTCGAGCAGCAACTTATTACATATGAAAGTGTGCAAAAAATTAGAATAAAATTAATTTGAAATGGTACCGGTAGCCACTAAACGTACCAACAAGCTCAAATAAGCATCAACCATGAATTAAATCACCATGCAAGTACCTCTTACCATTCCCGGAAAGCAACACTGTTAACACATGAACCGTGCAAAATATCGATCCGAAATCGACAAAACTTGGTATAAATGCCGTCCAAGTATCAACACAAGCTTCCTTGAGCATTAACCATAAATGAAATGTCGCCTTATGCTCAACTTACCATAATCGAGCAGCATTACGCCGTAACAAAGAATTGCTCAGAAGATCATATCAAAAACGGTAAAACTCAACATTAATAGTCTACAAACGCACAATTAGGCATGAATAAGCATGAAACAACTTTTGGAAAACAATTTGCAAGGTATTTATAGTTTCCGGGAAGCGATGTGTACATGAATCGATATTGAACAAAAATGAGTTCAAAAACTCAAAAACAGATACAAAAGCGCTTATCGATTCAATTATTATTGCTTAGAAACTACAAACACTTTGCAAACAAATAAATCCGCATATTCCAAGTCACAAACAACACAATTCAAGTGTTAATGCAATTTCCGGGTTTGAGGTTTTTATGTCAAAAAATTGAGTTCATCTGCAAATCAACACGAAAATTACATTAACCGTGAAAACACAATTAAATCTCAACAAAATTCCCTAATCGATATTTTCATCTAAAATTTGGTATCCAAAAATTTATCAACAATTTCACTGAATAAAATCAAGATCCATATCGATTATGTTCTTCAATCAACCAATTCCACATAATTTAAACATCATCACAAATTCAAGAATTAGATATCTCTCAAGAATTCAATTCAAAATAAACAACTCATGGGATAATCAATTAAATACAAATCAACATAAATCACAAAAGTCAATTATGTAATAGAACAATTAATTCAACAAGAAACAAGAATTAAAGTGAAAAAACACTGAATCGGAGTTTGAAATGGAGGAGATGAAGAGATGGCCAGAAAATGATCAGATATGATGAGCTAGCTCACCCGAAAATTGCAAGCAAAAGGAGGGAGAAATCCACGAGAAGCACGACAGATGAAGGGAGATTATTGCTGGAATCCGCGGTTGTGAAGCCGAAAGGAGGGTGCGCCCGAAATGATCGTGTGCGGAGGAGGACTATGGAGGGATCAGTGTAGGAAGAAGAGGAGTGGTATGCTTGCAGAAATTGAAAGGAAGAGGATGAAGTTTTGTTGAAGTTTTGTGAGTTTTTGTTGATTTTTTCATGAGAT